TAGTCCGTTAAATAATATGTTGCTGTCATTATTTTTAACATCTCTAGTGATGCTGCTATTATTCACATATCCATTACTGTAAAAATGTCCACAGCTGTTCTCCAGATGCAGTGTATTTATATTATAAAACACTGTACAGTACAATACTCTTTTTGTTTGATTTTCCCACCTGTTATTTTTATGCACTTTTCTAAGGTCCCCATGGTGTGACCGCTTCTATTATAACCTTTGCTGCTGTAACACCACAATTTCCCATATGTGGGACAATAAAGGGATTTCTATTCTATTCTATTCTATTCTAGTTAAGACCTGCATAGGGAGGGGTGATTTTGTTGATATGGGTTTATCATTTAAACCCAAGTGGGTTCCATCCGAGAAGCTCATTGTAAGCCTGGGCACATTAGCTTAGCTATAGAACCTACTGAGAAATCACAGCACCTCCTTTCTATATCAAATACTAACATTTAAGAAATCATGCCATTGGGTATGGCATGATTTAAAAATGTTAAATGGAATTTGAAACCGAGAAGTAAAATTATATGTAACATAGCAATTCTGTGTAAAAACATGAAAATAAAACTGAAGAAAAACATTGAGCTTTCTGTTCTGTCTTTCCCCAGAGGACGAGACTGGAGCTGTGATTGTGCAGACAGCTCCTGGTAAGGTGGTGACACATCGGGGTGGCTCCATCACTCTGCCCTGCAGATTTCATCATGAGCCAGAGGACACAGATCCTGCTCGCATCCGGATCAAATGGACTAAAGTGACCGATGCTCTGCAGTTTGAGGATGTCTTTGTTGCACTTGGAAAGTAAATACCAGCATTCTTTATAATTAAAATATATTTTCATGTTTAAATAGCATCAAATGATACATTTAATTCCTTTCAAATATTCAATGCAACATAAAAACAATAACTGGTTGATCTTGGGGCTTTCTCCAGGCAACAGCGTGTGTTTGGATCATACCGTGGACGTGTGTTTTTGGAACAGGCAGGACCAGGCGATGCTTCAGTTATCATCCAAAACGTCACACTGGAGGACTATGGGCGCTACGAGTGTGAGGTCACCAATGACATGGAGGATGATACAGGATTTGTGAACCTTGACTTAGAAGGTCAAGGATCAGTTTTACATCCTACTGAGATTTTTCATTAAATAAACATTCATCATCTTACAGCATTTCACTTCATAGAAATTGTGGTTGTTTCACCTGCAGGTGTGGTCTTTCCCTACTACCCCCGAGAGGGACGCTACAAGCTGAACTACCATCAGGCTGAGGATGCCTGCAAAGACCAGGATGCGATTCTGGCATCTCATTCACAGCTGCATAAAGTGAGTTCACAAACTACTGTTTGATTGAAGAGCAAAAAAACTTTGTTAGTAATGTTTCCATGCAATCAATGAAGATAGGAATGATTCCCCTTTCCTAATGTCTGTACGGCCACTAGAATTGATTGCATCCAATGGTTTTCTTTAGTCCACATCCTCTCTCATCAATAACCTGGAGCATGTATCTCCAACTCCAGTGTCTGAGACCCACTGAAACCCTTTGACTTATCATTTTTACAGCAAACTATTTAAAAGAACTGCTCATAGCCAAGCCTCTGTAGATCTTGAATGCATGCAGGGTAAAAACTTTAGTAATTAAATTTAGTGGTACTGGAACAGGAATGCATTTCCACATTGTAGAAAAGTCTCTGTTGCAGGAGTGGAAAACATTGACCTAGACCTGACTTTGAGAGCTAAACCACCCTTTTAGGGGTTGAAAAAAATGTTACATATAGTGACACTAAGATAAGAACATCACAAATGGTTCACAATTATCACAAAATACAAAAACACAGAAGCCTAAAACATCTTCTGTCATTGAAATCTATATTCAATGTTTCTGCTAAGATCTGATATAATTTTCTGCCTACCTGCAGCCAGGTAACTTGGTTTGTTATAGACAACTTTTATGTGCAGTCGGGCTAGAAATCTTTGGTAATCCTTGTTTTTTTACTAAAAGTAGCATTTTACACTAGTTCATGAAAAACTAGGAAGATTTTCTTGTAATATTACTTAGTCTGCATCCGTGGAGGCCTTCTCTGCACCTGCAGGGTTTTTCTCCAATGCCTTAACCTCCTGGCTGATTGAATGTGTAATCATTCTGTAGGATCTTATACTCACAGTGCTTGTCGTCACTAGATTATGACTAGTTAGAGTAACATGATGCATCTGATCAGATAACCCTGGCTGACATCACATTATTTTCATGCATAACAGATTAGTTGCTGTACATTTATGTCTATGATGGTAAGATAAAAGAGTGAACTTGGAAGAGTGTTGGTACAGCAACATAACTTTTCCCCATTATGCACCAATAGGAAAAGAAGCTACAATAGAGACACATCGAATCGAATACTAGGGATGTGAACATAAAATAACAATGAAATGAATATTTTAAAACCCAACAAACCATATATGAGAAACCATATATGTTTCCATCATGTTTTAGAGTGGTTGAAAAAGGTAGGATATGATTGCAAAATATAGTTTATGGTTTACAGAGATTGGTCTAAAAATGAAAAACTAGTAAGTGAGCAGCAGCTGCGTCGGTAAAGCTGCCTTGTTAATGACATAGGCCCAAAGAAAAGACAAAATGGTTTAAGATGAAAGAAAGGGAACAGGAGTTGACATAACCATTTGATATAACCAAGGTGCAGGGAGTAACCTCTGAATGTATAACATGTCACAACATGAAGCAAATGGGGAGCAAATGTCCACACCAGGTATCACAGTTCACTCAAGCACGTGAAAATTGGAGAATAAAAAACAACAACACATTGCTTGTTCCATTCAGTCTGGATTACAGCTTCTGCATTCACATTAAAGCCTCAGATTTTTCTTGTTAAATGATACTATGGTACCAGCAACGTATAGCAGCAGGTTCTCAACACACACATTGTTTTTTTTTTAATTAGGGAGACAGGAAGGAAGGAAGGAAGGAAGGAAGGAAGGAAGGAAGGAAGGAAGGAAGGAAGGAAGGAAGGAAGGAAGGAAGGAAGGAAGGAAGGAAGGAAAAGTATTTCTGAAATTATTTTAATTATTTTAATCTTTAATTATTTTATCAGAGGTATACTGAAAAATAACATTTCCGAAACTATTTTTCTCAAATAAAACTAATTCAAGCTACTAAATACTGCAATTCTGCAACATAAAGCTTTCCATTCAAAAACAAAAAGACGGATCAAACTCATTTTCTATGTTTTCTGTCATATTAAAAAATATCTAATCAAGAAGCAGGTGTTATTTTTGTACAGAAATTATTGACACAAATTCAAACCATTTCCAAGGCCAGTTTTATACTGACCATTTTATAATTTGCAAAACATATTGACAGACTAAAATTGAAATACTCAATTGAACAAAGTAAAAAAAATGTTTTTAAACACATTATCGTCGTAATTAAAAAATAGCTAATATCACTTTAAAGCACAGTGCACCTACCTACTTATTTCAAATTCTCCCTCTGAATGCAACAAAGCTGCAGGTGATTAAGTGCTAGAGTAATGGAGCCATCAAAATGCAATAAATTAAATTCCCTCTCTTAGTGTAATATCTTTAATCCTTCACATTGACCCACTGGCCTACATCATACTCAACAGGCCTGGTTGGAAGGACTGGATTGGTGTAATGCCGGATGGCTGGAGGACGGCTCAGTCCAGTATCCCATCTCTCATCCAAGAGACCAATGTGGCCGCAAGGACAACCCGGCTGGTGTTCGCAACTATGGTTACAGGCACAAGGAAGATGAGCGCTATGATGCCTTCTGCTTTACCTCTAAGCTCAATGGTGAGATGAATCAGTGCACATGCTTTAGATCTTGGCAGCTCATCAGGCTGATCACAAACGTCAGTATATCTGACCCAACTAGTATGAGTCGCTGTGTCTGACTGGAGCAGAGCAAAATGTTGTCAGAAATGGCTTGCTATGCTACCGTACTGAAAGAGGGGTGTTGGATGAAGGGGGAGTGAGACTTATTTCTTTTGATCTCTGCCTGTGATCTTGGATGCCTAAGGCCACTGAATTTAAATCAGACCCCGTCCTGCAAGGGACACAGTGTCCTCTGGGTGCAAGGTTTGCCTTTCATCTCCCAGAGCTTTCATTTAAATGACATACCCAAAGAGAGTCTGAACACAGTCCTCTCAGGTTCATACACCCAAACACAGTTTAAACGGCCAAAGACTGGGTTCACACTCGCTCAATCAAAGGCCGCACAGACCTGTGGGGGTCCATGACACGACACACATTTGAAAAGGGAAATGGTCTATGATAAAAACATTTATAGTTGCTTGGGGAATCTCTGCACATCTAGATAAAAAAATATTGGCAAATGTTATTTTTGAATGAAGAAAAGCTTTAAGGTTTACCAGATTCACCTTACTAGTAAACAGGCACATTAAACATCCCTCTGGGTTATTAAAGAAATTATACAAGTTTGTCTGGCTCTCATTTATTTGCAATGATTAAGCATACAATGCATTTTCAAAAAAATGATACTCCTTAAAATGTGGGAGCAGATATGAGGTTTTAGACTAGAGATGCATTGATCTGATAATTGATTGGATATCGGCTTTAATATTGACTAATAGGCTGGATTTGATATCGGTAATTGGATATCAGAGATCCAACCAGTGCACTTTACAAGGAACCTTTACTTCATTCTTTTCACTGATTATTTGTTAATAAATAATATAAAGTACATTTATATCTGTGTTCATATCTTACCTCTTTTTAAACAATTTTCAGGCTTAAGCCTTCACTCACATGGCAGATATTTATTTTTTTATTACAGGAACAAAGCATAATAGTAGCATTTCTGTAAATAAGAGTGCCAACTTTTCACCTACAGTTCCCATATATTTTCAAGAACAAAGAACACACACAGAACACCTCCAGTAGTAAAATATAGTGACAGATATACACATACGCAAACATACACACCTCCAGAGGAGAAAGAACAACAGGAAAAAGATAAAATAAACAACTAGATAAATAAATAAAAGTAATAATAAAAGAATGAATAAATGGGGGGGAGCTGGGTGCAGGGGGGGGGGGTCACATTTCTACATTGAAACAACAAACTCAATTAATGGTTGCCATTTAGAGTAGAATTTGTTCAAGTTACCAGTTTTCGAATATCTAATTTTCTCCACCTTCAAAAAGGACATGACCTCCTTTATCCACATTGTAGTGGATGGGGCTATAGCTGATTTCCAGTTAAGGAGAAGGTGACGCCTCGTGATCACAGAGGTAAAAGCTATCACTTCCAACTCTCTTACGGAGGATCTACCATATTGCTCCGGGAGACCAAAGATACCAGTATGTGCTGAAGCATCAATAGTTCTTGAAAGTACAATGGACATAGTGTGAAAGTAAACTTGCCAAAAAATTGTGAGTGAGCAGAGCATGTAAAAAACATGAGTGTAAGATTGCAGGGTGAACTTCCACATCGATCGCAAACATCCACCATATTTGAGAATAACTTTGCCAGCCTGGTTTTTTAATAATGACATCTGAATACTACCTTGAACTGTATCAAACTCAGGCGGGCGCATATAAAAGTTTTGTGAATCGCTGTCAGGGCCACCTCCCAACAATACTCATCAAAAACCAGCCCCAGTTCATGCTCCCAAGCTCTCTTAGTGTTTCTAGTTAGAAAGATGTCATATGACCGAATCGAGTTGTATATCTTTGAATTTAAAGACCTTTGCAAGGGGTTAAGTTGCATAAGTTCACCCCACAATTGCTCAGGTGGCAGGTGAGGGAAGTTGGGAAATAAGGAAAACTACAATCCTTCCTTATAAAAATCCTTGAAACATTTTTGTCCCTTATCTTGCTAAGAAGAGAGGGTCGGTCAGTAGTAGCGGGTGTAAGCACTGGGTTTTTCAGAAGTGGGGTTAAGACTATAGGGCCTGTAAATTTAAACTGTTTCCTAAACTGAAATCCTATTCTCAAAGTATCTACAACTATGGGGTTGTTGGTATGGCCAGATGGATTTACGGAGGTTGGACCTGTCTGTAAAGCCAAAAGTGAGGCTGAGGGACATGAGTGTGCTTCCAGTTGACACCATAGTAAATCAACTGAATTAGACCAGAAAACAATTTTAGTTAAGTTAGCTGCCCAGTAATAACGTTGACAATTGTGTAAGCAGAGGCCACCACAAAATTTACAGTTCTGAAGTATTTTTAGTCTTACTCTGGGTGATTTGCTGTTACATAAAAAGTGAGCTATAGCCGAATCCACTTATTAAAAAAAAACTTCTTGGTAAGAATACAGGTAGATTTATGAAGAGAAATAGAAATTTTGGCAAGATTTTCATCTTAACAGTACTTATTCTCCCAATCAGAGAGAGTGGGAGGGACCCCCATTTTTGATTTTTTTTTTTTAATGTCCGCAAAGAGTGAAAGAAATCTGTGAAAGAACTTAACAATGGTAGGGAGGGGTTCTAATGGATCAGTGACATACAAAAGCAAATCATCTGCGTATAATGATAGTTTTAGTTCTGCATGACACCAGACGATCACACCAACACCAGGAGACGTTCTTGGAAAAATACTCAAAGGCTCTATTGCAAGTGCAAGCAAGAGGGGCGACAGAGGGCAGCCCTGTCTACAACCTCTGTTTAAAAAGAAATATCCGGATTGGTTGTTATTGGTAATAATACTGGCACATAGCAGTGTGTAGTGAAGACGCACCTATGATATAAATTTTTTCCCTATTCCAAATTTAGTTAAAACAGTAAATGGGTAACTCCATTCAACCCGATCAAACGCCTTTTCAGCATTGATTGATATAACAACCTTGGGTGCAACTGTAGTCTCCCTTGAATAAACAATATTTAACCCTTTAAAGCCCGATCCAAGAATAAAATAACACAGAAAATTACTTTTTTTTTGGTTTGAAGTCCTTATTTGGCCTTTTAACAAAATATGTAAAAAGAAAAAACAGAAATACATTTTTGATATTAATTATTTATTACTATGTGATAAGTCAAGATTATTTTTTGTGTAGTCTTCTGCCCTCTCTTATCAGGTATATCTGATTGTGTACAATAGGATTTTGAGCAAAGTTTTAACCAGTAAATTATGCAAAAGGTGTCAGACGCAAAACATTTCAGAAACAGTATGTATCAAATATGATACATTTGGCATTACAGGGTTAACAAGGTGCAAACATTGTAATAAAGTTGTCGCCCCTTTATGAAGTCAGTCTGCTCCTTGGAGATCATTCTTGGTAGAACTCGATCAAGTCTCAGGGCCAGGGCCTTCGCAACAATTTTTGTGTCCACGTTCATTAATGATATCGGCCTATAGGAGATACAAAGGTTGGGATCCTTGTCCTTCTTTAACCCTTTATAGGGCACTAAGTGAAATACGTTGAAAACCAAAATTTCAAGCCAATAATCTAACCTTATTACCTTTGGGATGTTAAAAAAATATTGATATTTTGGAGTCAAAAATGTATGTCAATGTAATAACAAGAAACACCAACTTGCCTGAATATATTAAGAAAAATTCATGAAAAACACTGAGACTAAAAGAAACATTTTTCTTGGTACTACATAAACTTAGACACTTTAATGCTGATACTTGCACATACATACTTGCACTTTTAGAGTATAAACCTTAAAATAATTGTTTATTTAGGCTTATAAATTTTTTTAATTTACTTTTTAACTTTTCTCTTAGGTTTTTTCCCTTTTTTCTTGAATTCTTTACTTTTTTTTTTCAATTTAATTTACAGTAGGTAATATATCATTCAAGGGCTTATCTAATTGGTCAAATGCAAAAATAAGATGTACAGCCATGTAGCAGAATCTTTGCTGAATGGCTGCATATAGATCTTGTGCTTCTAGACCTAACTGAAAGACAGGGGGGACTCTATTTTTAAGGGGTATACAGGTGATCAAAAATGGTCATTTACGCTATAAAGGGTTAAGAGAACACTGATAGAAGGCTGTCTTAGCGAGGGGGGATGGAACCAAGTGAGAGAGACTCAACATAGACAGAATGAAGCAAGGGTTTTAGCCATTGATGACTGGGTTCGGACATATTTAGAACAATCTAACTGAGGATTAATAGTACAATTTATGTCCCCTCCAAAAATCAAAACACAATTATTCAGAGAAGGAAGAATTTCAATTAACCTTTTCATGAAACATGCATCGCCAGAATTAGGAGCATATACATTAACTACTAGGGTAGGTACATTGAATAGGGTACCTAACACTATCAGAAATCTGCCGTCTCTGTCTGGGTTGGTTTTGGTCAATGTAAATGGTACAGATTTACCTATTAAAATGGCAACCCATCTAGCCTTAGAATTAAAACTAGAATGGAATACCTCAGCCACCCATGGACACTTAAGTCTGAACTGGTCTTTATTTCTCATGTGGGTCTCCTGTAAAAATATAATGTCAGGTTTCAAATGCTTTAAATGGTAAAACACCCTACTGTACACCGCTTGACAGCACCCCCTAAACCTCGAATATTCCAGGTGATAAATCTTAAACCTGAGTTGTTCATATTAGCCATAGGAAATTTGAGTTAACACTGATAAGGTAACTTGGTTTCGCCCCCATGCACCCGGTGTCATGATCTAGCAGGATTTCTAGCCCAGATGCAGAACTCACGGACACAGAAGCAGGGTTAAAGTCCAGTAATTATTGAAAACACACAGGGTTCTGCCCTGGAAGGCAGAGAGGACAGAGCAGGTTAGGTTCTGGTACAGGTGACAGGTTCAGACTTACAGGTTTTCAGGTTTAAGACAGGCAGGGTGGCTCAGGCTTG